TTTTCAAATTCCTGGACCCGCCACTGATCTTAATTTATTCTTTCATTCTTCTATCAATTTTTTTTTTTTTAATCTGACCATCATCTGTAGTATTATTTTACTCTTTGCTATTTATTCTTTCCTTCATTCTTTTACTGTTTCATTCATCCTTCCATCAATCTAGAACCTCTTGCCTCAGGAAATTAATACCTTATAATTTCCTTTTCACTATGACACTTATACACATCCATCACTATTACTACCACTAATGTCACACCATCACTATATTTGAAATTTTATTATATTTACTAAATTAGATTCTATCAATAATAATTATTGGCTTGTCAATCACAGAATGGAGAAAAAACTTGTTTTTATATCATTTTCCTGCACCACACACACCCCCTCCCCCAGCTGGCATCACCACTACAATATTCTGGTTATTTTGGCTATACTCAATTCTTTTTCTCACTCCTCCCAGACAGACCTCATTCTCCAAAACTACTTTATTTACAATTTACAATTCTAGAAAATGGTTCATGATGTGTGTATGACATTATTCTGAAGATATAATGTTTCAACATTTGTAGCACCATTAAATCATTGCTGCTACAGACTATATATATTTAATATTGCAATATTGTAAAAATGATTTGTAAATTTTTAATTGCCAATTATATATCTTTGTAATTTTACTCAGTCTTTCAATTCAGCATATGCTGCAACAGACTGTTTTGTATGTGAGCTTCTTTTACGCAATAAAATATACCGTACCCAAATATGCTACCATTGATCAAGTTAATGCTACAGCCTTTTTCAGGTGGTACTGCTAATCCACCATCAAGTCAATTACGCTGCACATTTTGGTGGAATACATGACTGCTATATCATTAAATATTGATAAACCACAACAACAATTAATTTTAAGAATTGTAGGTGTCAGTAGTTTTATATAGCCTGTGGCTTTGTTTCCCCCTTCACCGATGCATTTTACTACTATGCTTTGTCTTTCCTTTGTCCCACTCCTTGTAGAATATCGACTGGCCAAACAAAGTTAATCAATTTTACTAGACAAAATCTAATGCCACCAAAGGACAACCATTATTCTTTCCGGTCAGATATACATACATACAATCTTATCTATTCCTTCCGCATTCCACATTAATATTTCAGCTACTGCATTCTCTAGTTAAATAAGAAGGTACACCCTATGAATTACTCATAATATTTAGGGTGACATCACTTCCTGATATGATGATTTTATGCCCCAGCTGTCCTGCTCAGCCTCCCTGAAAATGTCCATAAAAGAAAGAGAATTTGGGTTTTATGCTAATCCAGCAACAAATAGCACCTAAACAATTAGATAAGGTGTATTATACGCAGGGGGTTCATTACAAGCTATTTAAGAGATTACAGGTTAAGGGAAATAAAAGCAGTTGGTTCATGTATAACATCACAACAGAAAATTACAACAATTAGTAAGCTGTTTAATTAGAGATGTTTTGTATATAAATCCTGCATTTAATTGATAATAACAAAACTATGCAAAGATTATTTGCAGCTAGGTGTTAAGATCAATGGCAGAGGTACATTAAGGTGGTTGAAGTACTGCCGAGTTCATTCAGTTTAATTCCCCTTCACGATGTCATTCATGCTATGCACAGGTAAACCATGTTGATCAAGGGGGAAGATCCAATGGTTTGTCAATAACAATGAAACACAGCATGTCAATCAGTGTTCAACCTGAATGGTTCACACATACAGTTTGTATAAACAAACTCCTATGAATTCTGTATAAGTTACATTTTTTAAATCACAGTGAATGTTTAAATAATTTAATTATACTGAATTAAGATAGCTATGAAGTTAATTAAATTGTATCCTCATCTTCCATTCCATTTTTGACATTGGTATACTAATTTTTATATTCATTCTATTTTATGGTCATCCATCCATCCAACTATCCACCCATCCATTCATTCAATATTTTATTTCAACAAAATTAACAATAATAATTAAGTTATTATTGGATTCACTGTAAACATAAATACAAGGTATATTTTTTCGCATTAAGCGACAATGAAATTAAAAATTCACCTACAATATGTTAAAATATTAAAATCATTTTAAAATTTGAGTCAATTTTGAGTCTGCAAAAACATGAAATACAGCCAATTTCTCTATTTCAGTTTAACAGCATTCACTATAATAATGAATTATATTATAACTGAATCTGATCCTATACATTTACAAATCTTAACTTAATAAGCATATAAACAATTGATTGGTAACGGTAATATTAAGAATACTTGATTGGCAGTGGTAATAAGAACACTCAACTGGCAGTCAATCTGTAAGAACACTTGATTGGCAATCCTAAAAAAATTGAAAGCAAACTTATCCGGAAGGTGTTTAAGACTACAAGCCCCCTTTGATTATTCAATTTTCTCCAAGACACATGTCGATGAACGCCTATCAAATCACTTGAATATTGATATACCTTTGGAGTACTATTGAACATTTTGCCTTGGCTCTTCCATCACTGGTGAAACTAGCAGTCTGTCTGTCATCGGAAACAATGCAATACAGAAAACCTGATGGATGATCGCATGTTATACAAGCTTAACATTAGTTGACTTCATGACATCTGGAATTAGCACACATTTCTATTCACATAATGATTTTAGCATATTTAGGCAATCAATCTGTTTCCCCCATCGCAAGTTTTACTTGACGTGGATGAAGGAAAATATATCCAAACTGCATTCACAGTCACCTATGAAAAGCAGCATTGTAGGACCAATTCACCTGGATGCATCTAAAAACCTGGCACTCATCACTGTGCCTCATCAGTTGACGTGATTTTTTGAGGAACGTAAGAAGGAAAAAGAACTTGGGTTTGGGATATAGGCAAGAATTATTGGAAGAAAAGAAAAGAAATGACAAGCCATACACGTAACAAAATTTAAACAATGTAATAGTTGATTATATAAGAATTCTAAAAACCAGAGGATCCACTAATTACTCAGTCTAAATAAAACAAAAAGACAGTAACTCCGGAAAGAGACAGAGACATTTTGAATTTCAAGAATCTAAAAAATATAAACTAAAAGAAAATGGAAAGGAATAAAGAAAATGGAATGAGGAGGTAATTGAGATAAAAACTTGGTCGAAATTTTATTAATTAAACAATTACAATTTTTTTTTTAAAGAGAAAGAAAAAAAAATCATAAAATTAACCTTTTATTATTTTGATAAATTTATGATTGTTGATTTGATTTCACAAAGATTTTCACTCATTTTCTATCATCTTTTCTTTTAATTCGGCTTTTGCTTTTATTGTCAAGCGAACAGGGGTTTCCAGCATTTTGCGCTGTATAAAAATAAATTTATTATATTATATTATTATAATTTTATGGAGAACGCAACACAGCAACTGCGGGCAAAACAGATCGTTTTTAATGATGGAGCATCGGCAATCAGCAGACGGCATCCCATGTCTCAAAGGGAGTGGAGTTGAATTCGTTCTACAATGTAGTGAGTGCTCTACTTTTATTGATCTTCCACACTTGCATAAAACAAGGTCCTGAATCATCCCTTGGGTATAATATGCATCTTTGCAATTTAGCTCTATAATGGGTAGATGTGGAAGGTTATGGCAAAGCTGTTTGACGGGGTTTGACAATATTCGGAAAATGCCACTGGTGCCTATGGATCAAAACACCAGTAAGAGTCCTGGAGGCTAAGCCCCCTGACACTTAAAAAACTTGAAAATTTTGTGCCATTTTAAAAGCTTTTCAGAGATCTTTAAAAATGTAATACAGGTATGCCCACAGGAATTATTTTTCATTGCTGATGGAGGCTTGACCTGTCAACCGGGGCTTAAGCATCTTTGATCATCGCTGGCACAACCACAGGTTCTGAGTGGCAGCTCCTACAAATCTTTTTTTCGTTCATTTATTTGCCACAAACAGCCCCAGAACTATGTCAGTAAGACTGCGCCATGACACCAGAAGTCGCATCCACAGCCCTGGAACAGATTACTGTTCACTTCAAATTTATGAAAATTCAAAAATTTACAGTACATTTTAGGAGCAAGTTTAGAGTCAGTTTCTCTCTTTTTAACTTCCACAATGCTTGCTGGACAGGCCTCCTAAAATTCACTCAATGTCTTGTCCCTTAATTTCAACCTACTGTTGACTAAACAAGGGTGATCCTCAGTACGATTTTCTGTGCTTCTTTCCCCTCTCCCCCTTTTTTCTTATTCATTCTGTTAAATTGTGCTGTGCTCGTGTGAATGCTCCCAATGTTTTATCCTTTTTACTTCTCATTTTTTGGAAGCTAACTTTTTGATAGTTTTCAAGTACTTTTATAGTTACTCCTTAATGTTTAATGGTTTCAAATTATTATTATAAATATTTTATAATTTTTTGATGTTATCCAAAAATTATTGTACATATCACTTTAATTCAGCATTTGCTGTATCTTCTATTCCAATAAAAAGAATTAAAGTGAAGTGAAAAACTCATCATGAAATAAAAAAAAACAAAAAACAACATTAATATTTAAGTTAGTAATTGGTGACTTTCATTACTATGACTCACTATCCCTCATCCAATATTGGTTATTCTCGAGCCTATTACACTCTTATTCTCTCACCCAATACACATGAGATAGATTACTGTATGTCCACATAATTATAGTTAATGAATAAGCCGTCATCATTAACACTGTTCTTTGATTTAAGGTGCAATAATACTACAATCAAAGGCATATAGCGTAGGTTTAATTCACAAAGTACAAATTTGATTAAATAATTTGAACATATGATGTTCACTGTCAAGGTCGCTGTAATATGATAAAAACAATAATAATAATAATAATAATAATAATAAGCCTATAGGCCTACAAAACTCAAATTAAATATATTTGTTTATTAAAATCAATATTCTAGACATAAATATCTTAATACTGTTTATAAATTAAACATTAACAGAAATAAAAATGTAAAATTGTATAAAATCTTAACTATTGAATAGAATTCTAAATGATTAAAATCAAATTTAAAAGCAAATCAGATAGACAAAATTTGGTTTCAACTGTTAGTTTAAAAAGATCCTTAATGTTTGATTGATTTTAGCCTAAAAATGTTTAAATTCTGCCCAAAAGATTTATCAGATTAATTTTAATACATATATTATTTATTCATAAAATGTACAATTTATATTTCAGCTCTTGAGTTAGCAAATGGATTTAAACAAAATGGAGCAATTCGCAAGAAAATTACTTAAATGTCGGTCAGGGGATGGGGAAATTGCCTGTGTCAATTCAGAACATGTTTGAGTTGGTAACAAAAATGTTTTATGTTCAATAAACCATTGAGTTTGGCTTTATTTAAACAACACTGAGTGCAAGAAGAAATGTTCAATTTGAAGATTCCACTTCCATTCTGACAAGCAATTCATTACCATTCATGCCACTGTGAAAATAAACATAGCTAATCATTTTGCTTATTACATCCGTACGCTATTAAAACATGTCATCAAGCAATATCTGCAGCATAGGTTTATATAGCACCGCAGTGCACCGTAGTCATTTCAATCATTCAACTGTGACATACTTTTAATTAGATTATGAATAACAAGTGTTATATGAAACTTTACAGATGTATTTTTTTTCCAAAAAAGTTAGAATAAAATGGTAATATGGAAAAGTGCCCATTCTGATATTAAAAATTGAATGGTTCGAGCATGAATTCTACCTGTGGGCAAGAATTCTTTTGAGACAGTATGTACACACTGCATAAGTAAATAAGGCAATTGATCAAGAGAATTAGCAGCCGTGCATGCCAACTCCCACGGGAACAGTTGATGGAATGTACTCAACAAAACAATATCTATAAATGAAATTAGAAACCACTTAAAATTAATACGGTGAATCAATCTTAGTCGTTAAGACTTACCGCTTAACACTGCTTGCCTATATGGCTCAAAATCTCCTCCCTAGTAACTCGGCCTTGTTGTAAGGTGTCGCGCATGGCTGCCTCGCTTGTGTGTAAATGATCAGCGAGGGAGAGATGAGTTCCTCCTCTGCTAAGGCGAAGGTGTTAAAACATCATTAAAATGGTAATGGACTTTATGTGATCACGCTTTTCACATGGTTCTCTGGTAATGATGTCGTTCGTGACGAGTTGTAACAGCAATTACGGAAGAGAATTACCCAATTGTGGCCAATTCATTTTCCATTATTAATACGAATATCAATTTCCTACCTCCTCCAAGAGAACTCCTAATGATAGTATGATTGTAAAACTGTGAAAGCGAAAACAAGAAAAGAGACATTTAATTATAAACCAAGTTATTGAAAGCAAAAGTCTAACACATTTGGAGATGGCTAAAGACAGCCATTTCATTGCCAATGAGCTGAGAAGCGAAGAGTATTACGATGGAGATGATCACGCGTGGAACATGCATTATTCAATGTTCACACACAGTATGGTATGTTCAAGTTGATGTTAACAGAAGTAAACTAGAATCAACGGTACATAAAATATTTTAAAGTTATTGGAAGGAAAATATAAAAATAATTAATAGTTGAAATTATTGGATGAACAGTAGATAAACATGTTTTAATATAATGAATGGAATATATAAAAGTTTTATTACAAATGAAGAATTTAATATCCTGGCAATGTTTATAACAGAAGTAAAGTGACACACTGGTAGAATAAAATATTTTAAAGTTATTGGAAGGAAAATATCAAAATAATTATTAGTTATGAATTGGCTTGCAATATTGAATTGATGACTGGATGAACAATAGATAAAAATGTTTTAAGATAATGAACGGAAAATATATAATTGTTATTTCTAATTAAAATGCAAATATTCTGGCAAAGTTTATAACAGTAAGTAAAGTGACTCACTGGTAAAATAAAATATTTTACTGTTATTGTAAAGGAAAAAGTAAAAATTATAATTTCAATTGAAAATCTAACATGGCTGATGCTGAAAAAATTAAACTGAATAAAAGGTAGACAGATGTTAATAAATATCAGCAAAGTATATAAATGACCATATAAAAGGCTTCCAATTAGACTTTGCATTTTTAATATAAAAGAAAACATCTAAAATATGAAAAAGTAGGTCAACTGTTAGCAAATTGTTTAGAATTGGCTCACTTGAAGATCCTTATAAATTAACAGTTAATTGCAATTTGCAGTTTTTTTCAAATTCCATCATAATATTTAGTTCCAATTTAGAAATATATATGACAATATATTTTTTAAAATAACCAAGAAATATAAACTGATAATTGAACTTTATTAATGTCATTATTAATCATTAATGTCAATGATTACATAAATCAATGTCATAGGTATCATTCTTGCCACCTATATTAAGGATTGAGCCGTCCCAAAATAAGTATTTATACAAAGAAACCGGCAGTGATGAGCACCAGCCATTTTACCAATAGGGAGGTGGAGCCCAATACAAGGGGATAAATAGAAGTCAACATTTTTGGCTCTCATGTTTTAGACCAATTTAAATAAACTTACCAACCTCATAAAATGTGATTATAAGAGCTTAAAATGTACAGTAGTTGTTAGTGACAGAGCCAAAGGAGCGGGAGGACAAAGGGGAGGGGGGTGAGGGGAAGTGTTACTATATTATCCTATACAATAGTAAGTAATAACATACTCATTCACCCCAGTCTATAAATTAATCACTATTTTCTAGGTGGGACTACAAGATTAATGTGCTCTTATTACCAAACCAAGCCAATGAGTATAAGTGCAGTATTTTTATTTGTAAAAAGAAGAATAAAACAAGTGAAGCACCTGCTAGACACAATGCCAACAAGTCTCCCCACCAGAATTGATATTTACCTCTAAGAGGATAATACCTTGCCTATAAAAAGTTAAGAAACAATAATCCATTAAGTATGAGGTATGGAACCAGAGTAGGCCATAATCTAACTATTGATTCTTCGGCTCATTCAATCCTTGCTTATCAAACGGCTGATTAAACTAGGATTTTACTACTATATATCAACACAGGTGAACACAAAGCAACAAGGATGTGAATAGACAATATCCGCCTCTTGGTATTTTAATCCGGTTGTAAAGTCGAGAACAAGTCTAAATATTGATGTACGCCTTTATATAAAAACGATTCCCGTGTAAAGACAATTGAGCCATAAAATTAATACTTGTTGTTGCTGCCTTTGAGAAGAAAGGCCTCAACAAATCTACTCTAATGTAGATCATAGCCGGTGAGATAGTTGTTAAGTGATGGAATTCCATGGATGACATAGCCGATACTTTTGAATAGTCATATTGATTTTAGTTATTATAAGAGGTATTTGTGAAAGGGTATACAAAGTTTGTCTTGATAAATTATCGAACCTGTTGTTTAAAATTTTTATAACGCATTCAGACCTACCAAGTCTTGTGCATTCGGCATGATCGAGACTTATGCATTCGGGGCCTGTCTCACACTCCTATGCTTTAGGACCAAAATCTCATACATAAATGCAATATTGCCTATATAAAAAATTACGGTATGTGTAGGTCTATACTATTATTAAGCATTTACAGGTTAGGTTGGAGTATCTTTAGTTTATACAAATTTTAATGAGCCTCGGTAAAGATTTAAAAACGATCATATCGAAAAAACACATACACGCTGACAGCTGCCACGAGATAGTTTCGTGTGAATGGCAAAAACATTTATAGATTCTTAATTTTAGTTGTAGTTACTACCATAAAGTTTCAAAGAATGAATTTTATAGCATTTAGAAAAACAATTTTGCCAGTGAGTGGAGAAGGGTAGGGGAGAGTAAGAAAGGAATTCAATGACCCCCTAGGGGGAGGAGTTTTCAGAACACCTGCAAATTCGTCCAACTTGGAATCTCTGCGCATTCATAAGAAATCTATAAAGCTACTAATATCCCATTCCAAGGTTATCGCTTGCGATGAGTAAACAACTTGCAGATATAACACGCTAAATCAATCTGTGCACCAGAATCAATTCTGTAACAAAATATTAATTTGCATAATATTTTGTAGTCTATTTATTCTCTTTGCTATTAATATGTTGTTTAATAGGGCATGTATAATCGATTTCATTTTTTTCCAAGTTCTATCTCTCTCTGGAACAGTTTCCTGTCGAGTTTCAAGAACACAATAGATTCAATGAGGTTTTCTTTTTCAATATTTCTTACTATTATATTTGATAATAATAATTGTTTAAAAGTAAAAATTGAAATAGTATTAATAGCCGCTAATTAATATGTTACATTAATAGAAATAAAAGCACATTGCTATTTAAATTATACTAATAATAATTACATAATAAATAAATAAATAAATTATAATATTAAAAATAAAAATACTAACAATAATAATAATAATAATAATAATAATAGTAATAATAATAATAATAATAATATGCGCTAGTCGGACTTAAGGAGAATACCTTTCATGTTTATTTTCCCCTTAACATCATTTTCTTAATTGTTCTCTAACTTCTCCATTGTCTAAGTTCCCCTTAAGGTAGGTTTTAGTAACATAATAACAATAATAATAATAATAATAATAATAATAATAATAATAATAATAATAATAATAATAATAATAAAAATAACAAACATACTAACAACAATTATAACAATTTAGCTTAAATCTAATGTGAGTTACTATAAAGTCATCTAAGCTTGCAAATTTAGAACAAAGGATACAAAATAAATGTGACCTTTCCATAATGTATTTTAAATTCCAGCACTTTTTATCTCTTTAATGTGAAGTCATTTCATGTTGGGATTTTTTTTTTCAATAACTTCTATCTTAAATTGTGTATTAACTACTAATTGATTTGGTGTTATCTTTAAAATTGCCTCATAACCTCAGAAGATGTGACCTACTTTACAGTAACAAGTATTGTATGACCACCTCATATAATTAATGTTTACACAATCCATATCTAAAGAACATTGTTCAATCTTTAAACAACTTTGTGCCTGAATTACAGTCATTATTTTTTTTTAATGTATTATTAAAGACAATAGATTTAAACTGGTTTCATGTCTACTAATTATATACAATATCTTCTTGATTCAAAATTCTTTTATTTATAAAATATATTTTTATTATATGAAAATTATATAATTTGATTTTCAGTAACATACCATTAATTTGAGCAGATTTAAATAGATATTCCTCAAATTATACTTCTGAAATATAATGAACTATGTATGAACTAAATTGCAAATTAACTTAGCATCAACTTATGCTACTTAGTCCTGTTTGTCAGGCCTAGGATGGAATTCTCCAGCTTATCTTGAAGATTAATTTTGAACCAATTTTTAGGTTCTGGTAGAGAATTATCTACAACCTAGTAATTACCTTAAAAATATCCTCATTGACATGTTTGCCACAATGGAAATAATAGAAAGCAATGTGCTTTTAAATTAATATCATTTAGTGAATGTGTTTCTACATACTAACAACCAACTGCCCTGTAACTTAAGTAGTAATAGAAGACAGTACACCATTATTTCCAAACCATTGAAATGTTTAATAAAATGCTACTAACTCTCTTTGGATATACTAAAGTTAATCTACAATAAGTATATAAATCTCCTTCAAATTATTCAATCCTCTTCATCAGATTGTAAACAAAAGAGAGTTGCCCAACTTTATATAAGTACCTTGCAGAAAATATTCAAGTATTCAATGAAAATCACCGAGATTGTACACTTAACATCCGTAAAATCGGCCAGACAATTACTGACCATGGGAAAGGTCGAGTAGTATTATTAAACTCACACAGAAATATCTGTTAAACATCAAACCAACACACACTTGTCTTGTTAAAATCACTTCAGAAACTCTTTTACATATTTGCATAACTGCAATTAATACCTCAAATAAAAAAAGCCCTACTTCAAATGAACCAATGAATAGGTACAATGCATAGAGTTAAGCTGTTACCATCATATGACCTGCCTCTAGCATTAACTGTTAGTGTTAAGTTTTCCTACATTTGGGAATTACAGTAAATTCAGCTATACCATTCCAAAATGACATTATAATACATTAATGAGACATAGTTTAATTAAAAAACTTTAATCTTTTTCTGTAGGCCATATTGGATTTTCCAAATAAAATCAACCAATCATCAATTGAGAAATACAGCAATCTTATAACTTATTTAGACTATATTCCTACAGAAATTTTAAATAAAAAAAACATATAAAGTCCCTGCTTTTTCATAAGCAATGTTTATATATATTCTAGCAGATTTATTCTACAATCTAGTAAGTGTTCAATTTTCTGTCTTGTCAAACTTTTAATTTACTGTTTCTTGACAACCTACTAGAATCTTACACATATTAAAACCATAAACATGTTTTGAAATATCAAATTTATACTCTATATTTACCCAGAAAATTAGAATTTAATCCAGAAATAAATGGCATCATTTAAATCAATGCCTCTTTATAGCATCTGCAAATCCTTATGTCAACTTACAGGATATTAGTTTTATTTTAACCTTTATTCGTTATATTGATGTATTCCACTTAATTATGCATGCATGACACAAAAATATGGATTTCAATTAATCAATGATCTTAAATCAATCAGTAATTCGTTCTGGACGATTTCTGAAATGGATTTTCTCATCTTTCCGATAACATTTACTCACCGAGATGATTAGAAAAGAACTGGCTGAAAGACGAACATAAAATAAAAACTGTGGATTGACAAGTCCATTCTAAATCACAGAATTAAGATAGTTGTTAAACTTAGAAATAATTTTTCACCAAATGATTAGAGTTTTGAGTCATCAAAGAATGGAAAAATAATAATTTCATGATGGAACATAGAGAGCCGAATATAGAAAAGTCAACGGGAATGCTATAGAGACAGTCCCTGGTGACTTCATCAAAGTCGAGTTAATAATTAAATCTAAAGTGAATGCGTACAAACACTGCTGATGGAAAAATAGATTGTAAGATCTGCCTATGATTTGTTCTGGGTATAGTGTTCGCCTTTTACACCATCATCACTCTATAAATGAATCTATATGCAAATTTTCCAATTTGTATTCAATTGGTAAGGAGCGTTGAACTGTCAGAACGGTTAGTGTAAAGATATTGCCATTACGGGCAGCACAGCGTGTATCGAAGAGGACTCCCTTGGCTGGTAGAGCGTACACACGACAATGTACTGAAGGGCACTTTCAGGTTGTCGGCAATATACGGACATCAGTAGCTGCATTGAGAGTGGTGTAATTTGCATTGATCGTTGAAAACCCAGCGGAATTGCTATACAGTGTAAAGTGTGAACCAACAATGCAAAATAAATCTTTAAAAATGAAGAAAATAGATCAGAGGCTGAGATACTGACACAGACGCAGCAAGCTTGACGTCACTACATAATTAGCTTTTGCCACTTACAAGGAAAGTGAAATTCATTGAGCTAAACTTTCCCCCTCCTCTACAACAAATTCTCCCATTTCTTGAATGTACTATCATAGGCCATCTATCTTGCATGGCTAACCTCTAACCTCTATCGCTTGTGATTACGTTTTAATAGGCAATTGGAAAGTGCAATGTAAGAAAGCTGAAAGTATAATATCATTAATGTAAACAAACAGGAAATCTATTGAGGCAAATTAACAGAAATGGGTTCTGATTGACTATGGTCTATTATATACACCCAGCCATCACAAAATATCAAAAAAACCCTAGAAAATTAAAACATAAAATACAGTATATATCTTTTTAATTTCATTAGGTTTTCCATATAGTAATGGATTGGTAAATCTATGAAATATTGTTTGAAGGTTTAAAATATTGTATGAAATGAGACCAATAAATACATACTTGATTTTATTTTATTTTTTACTATAAAAAATAGTTTAAAATGATCAAACTAATTTTCAAGTTTCAATGATACACAGAATTAAACTTGTAATTTTTGGCTGATTATTAGGCTTTACATTAATAATAATTACAATAATTAAAATAAAGTATATAAGAACAGTATTATCCCAATTTATGTTATAATAATGTTGCAGTATGGTTTTCAAAGTGTTTTTAGAAACACACACTTAAATAACAATCTTGCAATATTGTGTTAATGTTCAATATTTTCTGATATAACATTGTTTGCGACTGTATTTAATGTTTTGTGTTTGCTGAGACTTAAAGTTAAAGCACATGTTAATTTATGTAGTTTTTTTAATTATTATTAAATTTGCATTTGAAAGCTCGTAACTCAATATGCAAAGCAAGAAATAGAATATTTGAATGAATTTTTGTATTTTACATATTAGGGGCAGAACCAATGGATCATGTTCCCCCTCCCGCACCCTTTTTTTTTAACTGTATTCTGTAATTTCAAGGCTTACCATCGGCAAGTTTCAGTCTGGGAATCTTATTTAAGGGTGATTAAAAAGAAATGGAGAGAAGCAAGACTTGAAGAGCCAGTATGTACCAAGAGCAGCATAAAAATTAAGTTGGCAACTTTCTAGGCCTACCTCCAAAGCAGGATGTAGGGTAGGTGTACTGCTCTTTACTGAACAACTTTCCCATATTTAGCTGACCTTAGCCTTAGCTATAAATGATTATCAGGTGTGTATCCAGGATTTTTTCTGGGTGGGTTGTGATCATAATTTTTTGGAAATTTTCACAATGAACTAATAGCAAGATGTGATTAAATTAATGTCAATACAATTTTCTTGAAGGGGATGGCAAGCTCAGTTTCAGAATTGCTAGAATTGAGATAGATTACGTCATGCAAATGGCAAGGTCTTTGGACTCATTGCTGGTACCTCATCAATGCTTTTTCATTTATAAATGTCATTGTGAAAAGGCCCCAGAAAAAAATGTCTGGAAAAAATGTGGACCTTTGAAAATTTGGTGGGAGGGGTCGTACGACCTTCCCGACCCCCCTTGCATACACCCATTCTTATCATTGTTTAGTAGTTTATGACTAAAGTTGAATTAGAGTCTATACAGAATAAGGTATTACAATAACATAATGCAAATCAATTGGTAGGAGGCATTCCATATTAATACAATAATACTTGATCAGAATCAGAGCATATTTCAGAGTAGGGCCACGATACGTCTAGGCCTCTACTACTTAGTTCCCCGCTAAGTTAAATCATTTCAGCAAGTCCTTACTGCAGGCTTGCACATCCCGGCTACCTGGACGATCACAAATGTTGAGAGAAACAAAACTTTTAAACTGAATTACAGTATAATATCATTAATCGATTTTTAAAGTCATGTTGAAATAAATGAAAAACATATAAACACCTTTCATTCCAAGGATATCCAGAGAATCACACAGTGATAACCCAGTTGTTGTTTACCTAACAATTTAACAAACAATCCAGGGAGAACACGTCGGGTAAAAAATTGTCTGCCACACTTGGAGCCAGAGCGATGTTTCGACCAATCACAGAGTAGGCTGATGAACTATCTGCCCGTCCTTGTTTACGTTAATTATGGTATATTGGGACGAATAATTATTGTATATTAAATGGAATTAAACACGAGAAGTCAGGACAATATCAATTTGGATATGATTTCCAGAATGGAGTACCGGTATGAATTCTCCCACGTATAATGAATTAAATATTAATTTTGTTACTATTTTCTCTGTCAAAAGATACTTTATTTACCTGTAACATTAGTTGTGTCTTATGCTTAATTGCAATTATATTTAAGTTTTACGTTATTTATATATATTTCGGTGATGATTTAGTTTATTTTTTGGCAATTCTGTCCGGCCTAAGTTATTTTTTCCTCTCTCTGTCATTATTTTTTTGTCCCTTTTTATTGTTCTTTGGACCAAACATGACATAAATAATAATGTTATATTTATATAGCGCATATTGCACATTGCCCCTATGCGCTTTACAGAGAAATAATATAGGCCAACTGAGAAAATGCAAATAACAATAAAATAATAGCAATAAAATAAAATAAAAATAATAATCATAATAACAATAATAACAATGAGACTATACCACTCCTATTCCTTAAACTAATTAATGGTTGGCCGTTGACTCCGAGGAGCTCATCCGCCCTTTGTTCAGGTATTGGTTTTTCTTGCTGCTGGATGACCATAAACACCCTCCCCTCAGCAGCCACTAAGACATATTTGAGAGGGTTGTCAGTTTAGTCGCCGACGCTCGACCGGATGGAGTTTAATGTCGTACCCAGGACGTCCCTAACTACCATAAGCTAGGCTTAACTACTCTTAAATACAGTATATTACTCATGAAATGAAATTATTGTTAATTATTATATTCTTTGTGAAAAACGTGCCTATAAATACTTCATCCTACCAAGTGGTTTAATAACCACATAGGATATGTAAGTGTAAGGAGGGTCTATATTGAATTAAAAAAAAATAGTAGGGTTTTAATTTCGTAACCACTCTTTTTTCTACCCCCACCCCCGTGTTTAAATATCTAAAGGTTCCCTAGTTTTCCGTCAATCACCGTTTATGTGTCTTAGAAAAACCTGTTGTACAACATAGAAAGTGTTTTTCCTTCCAGAGAAAGGCTTCAAACTTTCTTTACTGAATGTAATTATATCCTAGTTAAACATATTACAAATATAAATATTGTATATAAATATATTTTCACTTTATATTGCTGAACAATTATTTAGCATCTTTGTTATTACTTCTGCATATTTCCTTTTAACTCCTAATGTAGAAAATACAAATTAAAGGCCCTCCACAATAAGAGCTGGAACGTGTAACGTCACAAGATCTTTGATGGGACTAGTTGTCATATAGAGGGCGTAGTTTACTTTACATTTACCGTATTGTATGTTTTCTGTTACGTCATCGTCAACGCTTATACCATGGTCCATGCTTATACAACGCATAATTCAGCACGCAATCTTTTATTATATTAAATACAAAAAGGAAACGAAGTTTTATCATAAACAAATCGGAAATAAAATATTAAAGCAAGCAAATAACCATGTTTTTATCCACAAATAGATTTGAATTTATATCTTTGTCTAGCTTCATCAATTCCAATAGATGCACAACATAATGTGGACAATATATCGCACAGCCTTTAACGCAATTTGTTTATACAGCATAAGAAAAGCAGTAAACCTATATTGAAAATCATAAAATATTATTTAGGCTTTCTATAATAAGCTAATTGTTATA